AATTTCCAATAAAATAATATATGTCTTGATATAGTTGTTATTGGCAAAACTATGAGTAGCATCCAAACTAAATTCAAGATGAAACTTGAGAATGTTATAAACTCTCTAACCTCCAAAAGAATTAGGTTCATTATGCCAAAAGAGGTTGACTTTGAATCACTTGCAGGATTAGAATGAAATATTTCTCCCCTATGAGAGGAAAATTCTATGATAATCCCAATTGAATATTCAACCTTCTTGAATGATGATAAAAGTATGTCCATAAGATTTAAAAATTATAAAGCTTCTAATCAAGATGATAACTAGAATCAGATTTAGATTTGATGATGATTGAGGATGATGAGAATGGTGAAGGTATTGATGATGATATAGGCTATAAGAATAAAAGTGTATATTTCTCCTATCTACATAACATAGATACCTATTGGAGAATTGTTCCGACCTTACATAATTATTATAGAAGAATCAACAGAATTAGAAAGATTGATATATTTTATGTTGATGCTAAAGAAAATATAAAAAAAAATTTATGGACCCGAAGATTCAAATAGGACCCTCCCCTTCATTTGTAATCATCTCATACCAAGATCAAGGATAAGAACTGTAAAGTCGTCGTGGATAGTGGCAACTGCATCAATGCTGTCTCCTCCAGCATGGTGTCTAAGCTTGGCTTGTCTGCCGTTCCCCACCCCAACCCCTATAAGTTAGCTTCGGTCAACACCTCTGCCTTGGAGGTAACGGAACGAAGCGTCATACCCATCTCCTTCGCTGATTATAAGGAGAACGTTTGGTGTGATGTGTGGATCATGAATGTGGGACAAATCCTTCTAGGTCGTCCCTGGCTATTTGACAACGATGTCCACATCTATGGTCTTTCAAACAACTGCGTGTTTGAACATAAGGGCAAAAAGATCAAGCTAGTGTCATTACAGCCTCGGGATACGGATGAGCCTGAATCCAGCTCTGTTAAAACCAAGAAGGGACTAAATCTGATAACCGCTATAACCTCGAGTGCCCCTTCACACACCTTAGTCGATCGTGAGACTCCCACTGAGTCTAACGAATCTGTCCCTCTTGAGAGTCAGCTCGTACCTAGTAGGCTTGTGGAGATCCATCTTCCTGATCCATTACCCCCGATGATAGTCAATTCTTATGTTTTAGATCTAGCCCCTGGAGCCTCCCTATCTGAGCGTATCCTAGTTGGACTCGACTACCATGATTAAGTGACTTGTACCCTTGGCTTAAGTCCTTTCGAAATTGTATATGGGTTCAAACCTAGACAGCCGTTAGATCTGATACCCATGAGTTCTAGGTATAGGATTTCTGAGTCTGCATCAGCATTTGCATCTCATTTTCATGAACTTCATAAAGACATTGCACAACAAATTAAAAAGAATAATCAGGAATATAAATTACATGCAGATTTAAAACGTCGATTTAAAACTTTTGAGGTTGGTGATTTTGTTATGGTGCGGATTCGTCCGGAACGGTTCCCTCCGGGAACAGTTAAGAAATTGCATGCAAAGAGTGCTGGGTTTGTCAAAATACTTAAGAGAATTAATGACAATGCTTATGTAGTTGATCTGTCTGCAGATTTCAATATAAATCCCTCTTTTACCATAGAAGACTTAGTGGCATATGAAGGTCCTGGTTTTAACCCACAAAATCCACTATCAAAACAGCCTTGTGTGAACCCACCCTGTGAGATCCCAAACCTACCTCCACTACTAAATATTCCCAAATTTCCTATAGCAGAGCAAGTGGAGGCAGTCTTAAGTGATGAAATCATATCCACAAGAGGAGGACGAAGAAGATATTTGATCAGGTGGAAAGGAAAGCCCGAGTCAGATGATACGTGGCTAGATCGCGAGAAGTTGCAGCAGATTGATCCAAATGCACTAGAGATCTATGAGCGCCAAAGATTCTTATTTGACGAGTCGAGTTTTCTCCCACCCCGGGAGAATGATGGGTACATCAGATCAGCATGGAAGGTTTATCAGAGACGTGACCGCCGATTTATGGCCACGATCGAATCCTTGTATTTCTGAGTCATGATTGTATTTTATTTTATTTATGCATTTTCTATTTTTTTTAGGTGTCGTTATTATTTCCCTTTGTACCCCTTTCATGGGAGTGGTCGCATGTAAGCCCAAAGGGCAAGTTGGTCTTTTATTTTCTTAAGTCTTTGTACCCGACTATTTATAGCCTCATTTCCTTTGTTTTGAGCTAATGAATGATTATGAAGAATTTTCCTGCACTTGTGTTTGAGAGCCTTTGAGAGTTCTTGGAGAGTTTTGGAGAGATCCCCTGGAGAGGGAGATTGACGTATCACCCACCAACCTTGGAGACGGCCGGGTTCGTGGTTTTATCTCCTTTTTTTTCTTGTCATCGCATCATCGTCGAGCTTCCAAAACCCTCCACCCATCCTCCTCCCCGTCACGGCCAAAGCTACCTCACCCAATCCCCCTCCCTTTCCAAACTCCACGGCCAAGCATCCCCAATTCCCCTTGCCGCCGGCCAAGGCCATAGCTGCCGGCCACTAATCCACTTGCCTATTTTATTTTGTTTTCTGATTAGGTTGGGCTTAGTTGGGATCAATTTGAAATTCAAATTCATTCAAATTTGAACTCAAATTATTTCCTAAATTAGCTCTTCTATTTTAGGAAAGTAGTTGATTTAGATCTAATTTTGAATTTTGAATTCAAGAGGATTTTAATTAAATATTCCCTAATTTTGAAACCTAAATTAGGAATCTTCCATTGCTCTCATCAATCAAAGCCCCACCCATACTTGCCGCCGGCCCCATGCCATCTCCCATTAATCCCTTATCAAGTTATTTCCTAACTTCAACACAATACTTAGGAAATAATTTGAAAGCCACGGAACTCCTCTTTACCGAATTCCCCTAACCTGGAATGGATTAATTTATTGCCTAAGTGGTAATTGCATTTTTGGAAATAAAGCAATTCTTCCCTTTTCTTTTCTCTGCATTGTCGCCTCCTACACCCGTCTCCCTCTTTCACCCGCCCCCTCTTTTCTCTACCAAATCCCCACTTTCTCCCTTATTCCTCATACAAGTTCTAAACCTTAATTCTTCTACTGTTCCTCTATTTCCTAAACACAAAATCTGAGATTTCTCTCAGATTTTGAGAAGGAAATCTGAGATTGTTCCTTACCACAACTTGAAGAAAGTTTCTTATCTCATTGCCCATGACCTTCTTCAAGAGTACTCGCTACCGTGGGAACTTCAACCATTAATCCCTATGAATGGCGGATCCGGAGACTGAGTACGGCATCACTTGGGACGACGACAGCTTCACCGACATCCTTGGGTCCACTTTCTTCGACGTGATTCCGGAGATTGACCACACAATCGAAGAATACGTGGATCGCATTTTGTTCGCGTTGACGGAAGCCATTGACGAGCATTTTGAATGCATCGAGTGGAGGATCTCCTCGTCTCCTTAAGCAAAGGTTTCTCTTTCACTTGCCTCTAATTTCTTTTAAGTCTAAATTCTCGCTGGTGTGATTGTCGTCACAAAAGTCTCCTCCACGTGCTCTTGCTAAGCCTAGTAATTCATAGGTTATTGAGTGTACTTTCTTTGCATCCTAAATCTCATTGTTAGACTAGGGATTAAATTGAAGACTACTATTTTGCATTGTTTCAATTGTCTTATTTATCTTGAAATTTCAAAGCTTGGAGCATGTGATTTAGCCTACGCAAAGCATCTCTTTATTTGTTTTAGTCGACGTTAAGAATTGCTAATAATTTTAATCCAAAATTATTCTAATCAAAGAGTTGTGCAATGCCTAAAATGAAGCCATAAGCATGTCATCTAAGTAGTCCTGCATCAATCTTGCTAATAAACAAGTGGTAGAAAGAGAGATTTAGAACATTTAAGACAATTTATACAAATTTCATGGTTTAATTTAATGTTCCTTATTACACAAATAGGGGATATAGATGTCCATCAATAACTTTGACTTTGAGGATAACATGTAAGAAAGTATAAGAATATAATAGGTGAACACAATTCATCTTTTGATCAGATTCACTTGATTCAATATTCAAGTATTCCTAGCCTTATTTAGTAATGTCAAAAGCAAGAAAAAAGGTATCTTTTGGGCTAGAAGGGAAGAAGACCAATAAAGTTTTCAAGGAAGTAATTTGTATAGAAGTTCTAATTATTATTTGTTCAAGAAAAATCATCATTTTCACTTTTTTTCATACTGTTCTCTCGCTTTAGTTTAATAAGCGTGTCTTTGTGATAATTTTAGGATTATTTTGACTTAGTGGTTTGTTGTAAAGTTTAAAACATTTTTTTCATCTATGATTATCCTCTTTTTAGTCATCACACCAAATATTATCTATCTTTCAACGAGTTGGGTCATATACGAAGTTTTGTTCTACTTTTTAATGGTAGGAACAGATTCTTAAGTTACGAGAGTATTTTTGGAATCTCCAAATATTATTCTCTGTTTTCTGTGTTTTCTTTGGACTTCAAAGAATGCTTTCTTAATTTTGGGAAGTGGATAAATTCCTAAGATTTTTCCACGCGTCTCTATATTTTTATTGACACCTATATGGTAATCATTTTTTCTAGTTTTCTGCATGAGTTTGATGTGATTAATCACGCTACCTGCAACGGTCATTTGGCTTGAAAATATCTAGTTCTTGCCAAATTTTTGTGAGAGTGGTAGAAGTTTGTGACACTCTTGCTCCCTTTCTTGCTATCATGAGCTTTTTCTCAAAATATCTAGTTCTGACCCAAGGTTGCTCGTCAGTATCCCACCTTCAATTGCTGCAAGTCCATAGAAGGAATGCTAATATTTCTTTCTTATTTCAAGAAAGTAATTGTGTGAATTATTCAGCACTCTTTAATTATTTACCATTATCATTATATTTTTAAGAACCTTAAAAACCAAAAAGAAAGTAAATTTTCTTTGTTGCCACATTTTTTTGCTTTTATATTAACATTTCATTTAACATTTTTATTCAGATTGTCTCAAACCTTTCAGCAAGCACTGGTCCGATTTTTTACGTGGAATCCTGGGGACATTTTCCAAAGGAAAGGGAACGTCTCTACAAATTGATAAGTGATAGTGAGGTTTGCATTTCATTTTATTGCATAGGGGCAATGGGATTTTGTGAATAGAGCTTGTATTATTTTTCACATTTATATGTTGACCTCCACATCAGATAAAAAGAAACAAAAAGGGGTTTAAAATCATTACCTGTTATGCCCATACACAAATCCTGTGTATAGAACCGTCGTTTGCTATAGTGCTGCAGTCTACAATGGCGCCGAACTATCGCATCCAGCCCATTCCTCCTGTGTGAAAATCTCGCCATGTTAGTGTTGTTAAAACGAGAGGTACACTCTCTTCTTCTCAGCTTCATACGCAAACTCCGATTCCTTCCCGCTTAGAAGCCTCTCTGTCCCGACCCATCCAGCAAAAACCGTGCTCCAACCGAACCTCCCTCTATTCATTCAACCATCTCTTCCGACTGCCTATCTCCAACCTATCGCAAGAAAGACCTGCCGAATCAATCGAGACCTTCGATCCTCTACTTGTTCCGATCCACGTGAAAGCCACGCAAACTGATGCTCCCTCTTCGATCCTCCAACCCATTTCTCATACCTATGCCGACCGAACTCCACCACAAGCCATCCGTTCCTTCCATGTTGACGGGAGTCGTCTTATCCATTAAATTTGTTGAAGCCGAAACCTCATTGACCTCCATCTGTGTTGATTCCATCTAATCCGCAAGTAGCCTTCCGATTCTCCTACATTCCCAATCCTCTCTCACTGCCGAAGTCGACCGACCCTCATAGCTGAACTCCATTCCGTTGCTTCCGACCCTTGCCTTCTGCCGACCTAACCCAAGACCTACCCTAGCCATCGCCTCTACCCTTCCTTGACTGAACACCTATAGCCGAAACCCTGCTTCACTCAATCAACTCAACCCTATTCAACTCAACCAAAACCCACCGTAGTCTCTGCTCTCTCTCTCGCATTGGTAATCCCTAATTAGTGATAATCATAATTAGTTATTATAATTATTGATAATTATAATAATATGATTATTATAATTATTAATAATTATAATAATTATGTTATTATGATTGTTGATAATTATAATTACTAGTAGTTATTGTGTTATCATAATTTTTTATAATTATAATTATGATTAATTATAGTAATTACATTGTTATAATTAATGATATTTATAATTCTTATTAATGATAACAATTATGTTACATAATTATTAATAATTCTAGTTATTATCAATTATAATAATTATGTTATTATTTTTTATTAATTATTATTCTTATATTATTATTAGAAAAAAAAAGAAAAGAAAAAAAAGAAGAAAAGAGATTTCAAAAAAAAAAAAGAAAAGGAAAAAGAAAAATAAAAAGAGAGGGAAGGGGGAAAGGAGTTTTGTGCATTTTCGATCATCGCTGTCAATCCACTTGTGAAGGTATAATTTTCAAAACTTGAGAAATCCCATTTCAACACTTGCAACGTGATGAACAACCACCCATGCGCATGCTTTTTTTAGCACGGTGGGATGGAATTATTTGCGATCCTCGCGACGAGGCGGGTAATCTCCTAAAATCTTGTTTTTGGTGTTTTCAACACGCCAAGGGACCCCCTATGTATGCTTTTCTTAGCGTGGTGGGAGGGAATTTGGTGCGATGCTTACAGCTAGGTGGGTGATCCCTGTGCGCATTTTTCTTAGCACGGCGGGACAGAAATATAAGCACCCGTATGCGTCTCAATGCCGTCAGGGAAACAATTATGCTTTCAAAGAGGTGTTTTTGAAGACCCGTGCACACCGTTTTTGATGTGGTGGGGGATGAAGACTACGAATTGGGTGTCCCCTGACAATTACATCGATAATGCACATCTATTTGGATGTGACGGTCAGGCTAGAACTCCTGTAGTTTTCCCTAAACGGGGGAGACGCTAGGAAACTACTGAAATTTTCTGTGAACCGAGGACAAAACTTTGACCAAAAAAAGGGACTTGGACTTGGACTTAAATCTAAGCAAAATGCAAAGTGGCACAAAACTTAAATGATTAATGGATATGGCTGGCATGATTTGAACTCAAGCAAAGACTTGATTCAAAACTGTAATGGACACAAACTCGAACTGCACTCGAATTTGAGCCTTCACTTGAATGACATCGAATTGAACATGAAAATAGACCTAATTGAATGACATGGAATAGAATCTAATGTCTAAAATAAAAGCTTGTAATTTAACACAATGACAAGCATCAATCATCCATGCAATGATTGGATGGAAAATGTAATGACATGCTTATACTTAGTGATACAATTTTTTTTTAAATGAACATCAAGGAATTGTCATTTCAATTGGGATGAAAATAGTAATTGATGATTGCAAGTTCTTTTTCAAGTTCATTGTAAATAGTAAAGAACTTGCAAGTTGATATACTAAACTTTTTCAAGCCTAATTTATTCACAAAAAATGATGATAACAAAATCCAATACAATTTGGCGACTCAAAATAATTGCAAAGACTACAATAATGTGCAATGAACATAACGACTTTGACAAGTATCAAGTAACTTGCAAGATATACATAATTGATCACCTATGAATGACAATAATACACATACAGTTAATACGGTGACTTACCAATAATCATAAACAAAGAGTACAGTGTATTTGTGAACAGCGTTAAGAGAATTGCAACGAATGCAGTGATATTTTAGCAATCAATGTCGACCCACTCATGGTTTAAAATTGCGCAATTCCAGTAAAAAACGCCTCGATGCTTACGCCTCGAGTTTTTTTATGAGGCTTGCGCCTCAACTTGGTTGAGGTCCGCCTTGAGGCCCGCTTCGCCTCATTGGCATGAGGCTTACGCCTCACGCTATATATATAAAATTTACATAAATCTTGAAGTAAATGCCCGACATTGGACTCTATAGGAGAGGAGAAGGGGAGAGAGCAGTTCACCATAATGACGATTCAAATGAAGAACCCCTTAGTGATGACTGTGCTGATGACTTATGAGTTCTTAATGTGATATGCCACTACTATTTATTTTTGGAAATTGGAATTATATGTTAATGAAAAGAATACTGGGATTTGGAAAAAATAGAATTTTGAGTTGAACTATATTTCATGTTGTCTTATTATTGTATTTGATTAAGTTCAAATAGAAAAAAAAATGTTGTCTTATTATTGAGATATTTTGATTTCACTTAATATCTTATGTTTTTTTATGTTTTATATTATTCACTCATTAGTATATAAAAAATTATCATTTTATGTTTACGCAATCTTTTGGTTTTGAGGCTTACGCCTCAAAACGCCTTGAGGCTTACGCCTCGCCTCACGAATGAAAAACGCCTCAATACCCGAATACGCAATTTTAAACATTGGACCCACTTAATAAGGAATACAACAATCCCTTGTGAAGGACGACAGCCGACATATATAAAGGAGCTTATAGTTGAGCCTTGACTTATGCACAAGAAACATCGCCCATAAGCGCATTCGAGGAAATACTAGTGTACGTACAGGAAGTGGCAGGTGATACATGTCGACACTTACAAGCAGCAGAAGGATCCAGCATGTGATGAACTGTTTATGAAAGCCATATCCAAAAGATCAAAGTAAAATACAACCAACATCATTTGATTCCAACATATGGGATTTACACGGGTCATGCAAAAAGATGTTGAAGCCCCTACGATGGACGTCAACTGTCCTACAAATATACACGGTAGTTCTTATGAACGACTAAAGATACGAAAGTAAATGCGACAATTCACCAACCAAACATATCAATCTCCTACAAGCAGAAGGGTTCAATGACACTGCGGGAGACCCATACCACAATCAACATGTTAGTTTCTATCAGAAGGATTTGACATGCAGTGGATGCAATAATGTGATACATCTATATGCGTTCAAGTGAATGTCAACATATAACGCAATGTGCCCACTAGAGTTAATGATCAATATTTGACAAATATGCTGTTAATGATTAACGCAAAGCTTTATGGCCTAAACTCACAATCATAAATAGAAAAGAAACCTATTATTACAATCATCTCAAGGACTCCAACAATTATTTTAGGAATATATATCTCGTATGATTCTACCGGATGGCCTGAGATGTCTTTCATTGCCGTAGTTATTAGTTAGAGGCAGTGGCCATTGACTCCGAAGTACAGGGCATCAGTAAAGACACATTCATCCAAGGTTAAAATGATTGATTATTTATTTTAGCCAATAGCAGAAAATGATGATGATAACATAACCTGGGAGTTGCCTATTGATATCTATACAAGTTTTGGGAAGAGAACTCCAGATCAAATCGTCTTTAGAGATGAAGTGAGCAAGTCTCACTTCAACCAGGTTTTGAACATTGAGTTGGATAAGATTATTGAGATTTGCTAGTTCTTGATGAGTAGTGGTCATACATCTAACAAATCATATACGTGCAAATACAAAAATGATACGACAAACACAAGCTCCTACAAGCTTCCATAGAAGACTCATCAAATGCCCAAAATGTCCCCGTACATGCACTGTAATATGTATGCAAGTAGGTATACCAAAATGCACGTATAACTGTAAACCCGCATGGGCCCCGACGAGCGTGTTATGGGTATACATGTGACGTCTAGGGATACTGCGCGGGTCATTAAATGAACCCCAGTTTGGGCTCGATCCTTCTAAATAGATAGATAGAAGTCGACACAGCTCGAACTATCAAATAGAAATACGGTCAAGTTGTCGACTGGAATATCTATTTTATACATTCATATAAGGCCTTTAAAGTATATGACAAAATAAATTCACCGGCATGAAGCTTATGAAACCTAATTATCTGTCAACAACTAGATAGAGTCGACAAAGTTCAATCAATAAAATAAAAATGCCCATATACTTCGATGATGGTCGTGTTGAATGTAGGGCTCAACCAGAGCAAATAATAAAAAAATGCTGTCCCAAATATCCGAAAATCCAAATTTCTAAAAATTATCTAAGTCTAAAATATTTAAAATTAAAATAATCCATTAAATCACTTAAAGCCCCATCTACCGCCCACAACAGTTTGTCGAGGGAGACAAATGAAAAAATACTTTAGCTTACAAAGAGATAGTTTCTGTTCGAGAATATCACTTGGATTCATTCTCAAACAGTCTCCTGCTAGTAGGGACGTGCCACGTGTCTTTTAACCGGCAGTTTTGTTGTCAAATGGCATCGTAGGATAAACGATTATGACCCGGGCCCGCTGAACTGGATGGTTCGCCGCCAAATGGCACCATTAAATTATGGTCATGGCCAGAGCCTGCATGCTTCCTAATGGCATCAAATCCTTGAGATATGAATAAATAGAGTATAATCGATAGGACACAGAGCCCTCTGTTAGCCAAGATGGATTCAAATTTGTCCCCTTAAACAAACACTCCCCCCAGGTATACAAGGTATCCTTGTACGACGCAACCCATGGCTGCTGACAAGGATCCTTCTGTTAGGTTGTTGGGTCGACTACCTCCTCTGACTAAGTAGACCAAGGACCACGATGACCCGGGATGACGGAACCATGGGATCTTGATCAGGTCCATCATCCATTTCCCCACCATCCGCTTTAAGTGCAAGATGGTGAAAATTTTCAATTTAAATATCAACCCTTCAAATACAAAAAGCCAATGCTGCTAGTATATGCTAGATAACATGTTATTCTCTACGTATCTGATTGAGGACTAACCTTAATCGAAAGTTCTCTCCCGTTATCGAGAGAGGTAATTAACTATAGGGGTTTGCTCCTATAGGAAACAAGAACTCAGATCATAAAGTCCTCGCAAAATGAGGGCGAAATCTCTGAGTAGTATCTTATCTACAATCTCGATCTGTCTTCCCAAAATTTACCCCGGAACTTAAATCGTTAAAAATCTCCTGAAAGCAGCGGGGAAGGCGGGGGCCGAATTTTCGGAGCCTACATTATATGGCCCAACTTTTACAACACAGGTTTCATGCTTGAAATTGTGGATTTAGTTTTCTATGCAAGAAATTACTCCTAAATATTTAATGAATCATTTCATTCGGTTATAAGTTTCTGTTAGGTTGTCATTTAATTTTAAATATATTAAACTCTGGATAACTTGGTGTAATTTACAATACTTTTACATTGTATATCTTATGCAGAGAAGTGGAGTGTTTTTCATCAGTGGTGATGTTCATTTTGCCGAGATTACACGTTATGACTGTGGTTGCGAGTATCCATTATATGACATCACCTCAAGTGGTTTAACTCAAGCTGTTGAGAGGACTGTACCTCCACCCTTGGATTATCTTTTGAGGTTAGCAGCCTGGTTAACGCCAACAACTATGAGAGTGTATTCCTCAACATGCCAATATAAATCATGCACGTATGGTATGTCAATATTTTTTCCAAATGACATGACTTCACTCCATGCATCACATAATTTGGTTGTGCATTTGGTGCAATATCTAGAATTTTTCCCATTTTTGAAGCTCTTTCTATTTCTGTACGGCTTGAAGATGGAACATATATTATACTACTGCTTAAACTTTTAGATGCATAATTAAAAAAGATGCATAAAAAAAATAGATGCATAATTATATATAAAAGAATTCTTACTTTCATGTTAGGTCATAGTATTGTACCTTTCAGGCTTCTTTTTCTTTGGTAGTACAAAAAGGGAATTGTATGAGGTTTTGCTCGAATATTTTTCTTTCTGGAACAATCATATGCATTTCGTGAGTAAAAAAGAAAAGACCTTGCCAATTATTTCTACTAATAGTGAACTTTTGTGATATTCATTGGAAATACCTTGCAACTTTTACTGCTAGAGATTAGCCATTATATTAAAGAATTAAACATTATTGGACTCTTAGAGCTAACTTTATTGTTGATTTTCATCAGCTAAACAAAACTTTGGGGTTATTGAAATTGATTGGGATACAATTCCTCAAAGTATCAAGTTTGAAGTAAGAAGTGTCAATGGCAATTCTGTCAACATGGTAAAATTCTCTCTTACAGAGTTGCAACCGAAAAAAATGAACAGAATTCACAAACAAGAAAAGTATAGGCAACATTGCGTTTTGGAAGTTGAGCTGCCATGGTTTCGTAGGCATCAGCTAGCTTTTGCTTTTTTTGGAACCTTAGCTGGTATGTGTATCGTTGATTTTTCATTTCAAGAATTTTTTTGTCAAAGCAGTGATAATGTTAGGTTTCAACTACTGAGCAGAATCTTTAAAACATTCATATTTGAACACTAGCATATTTGAATATTAGTCTTGCTTAATACTACTCTTCCCTTTTGCAGTCTACTTTGTGGCTTTAATTATATTGGTTTGGATCATCGCATCAGCTGGAAAGACGTTTGTACAAAAGCTTAAGATTGATTGAAAGTTTTAGTATAAACAGATTTCAGTTTTTATGGCGAGGCAATTAGAATCAGAAGATCAATCTCAGGCTCTCAGCAGTTCAAAGCAGAACAGCCATATGCAAATCCTAGTACTACTCAATGAATTAAGAGCAAGTTCTCTGAAGGGTCTTGATTCATTTTTTATTTGATCGATGGTCATAGCTGGATTGAGTAAAATCTAGTTGCATAATTTCTCTGTTGTATTTTTGTAGCGGCAGCCCAATTTGTTAAATTTGAAGTTTAATAGTAGAAGCAGGAGGAAAGTTACATATGTTTTCATTGTGTTATGTTTGAGGGATAATTCAGTTATATTGTAAATTTAACAGAAAAATACTCGAGGTCATGTAATGTCGTTAAAATTTTTAACCTTAAATTCAACAATAAATCTTTCTCACCACTATTCATCTTCATGTTGGAGTTAATACTCAAGTTAGTGGCCGTCCTTAGCGCAATAATTTGCTCCTTGGTAATCCGGAGGTGGATTTGAATTACTAAAGTAACATGTGATAACATGTGATCTTAGATTTAATTATTTTAGAAGTTCCATATTATTCTTGCTTGAGGCCATGATTTGTTTATGATATTTTTATTTTTATTTAATTTTTTTTAATGATTTGTTTATGATATGTTTTTATATGAATCATTCTGTAGCTTGCAATGAGGAGGCTTATATGCTAATCATAGGAGTAGTAGTTATCAATGCAGTATTTTGTTGTGTACTCTATGTTTACCATGGAGATGGAAGGAGAGCAGATTTTTTTTTTCTTTCTGTGGGTATGGAAAAGAAGATGGGCGTGAATTGTCAACTTGCACAACTTATGCATCATATGCAGTAGATCTGGCTAGCTACAAAATTTTAAACCTGCACAAGATATTCATTACATATTAGATTGCAGCATATGGTTACTCTTTGCTCAAATATCCAAGGAGATGGCTAGCCTGTATTTGTTCCCTCTTTTCCAAGCGGTCCGAAGGATCAATTTAACATTGATTTGAGTCTGTGGGCTCTAAAAATTTTGGGCCCCAGCCTCTTTGTGGCCACTTTCCTTTTTCCGATCGTTAAAGAGAGTTTTAATGAGTATGTTTTGAGACATTTTTAAAAGTCATATTGAATTTTAGAATAAGATATTATTAAATGATTTTACACTCATTTTGAGAGGACTTCTATGATCAAAGTTCATGTTTGTGCAAGCCCTTATAATTAATTACTTCTTTCAATAGCAAGAGAGAACTTTTGATAAGGCTAGTAGTCAAACAGATGCAGAGTATTTGACGATAGTAGCAATGTGTTTAGGTATTTATGATTTAATACATAAAATTAGAAATTCTTGTCGGTAGTCATGGGTTTTGTTTATGGGTACCTTGTAGACCTCAGGTGAATATTTATCTAAGGGGATAAATTTGAATCAAACATAGCTAACAAAGGTTTTCGTGCCCTATTGATTATATCTTATTGATTCATTATTCAATGATTTCAAACCGTTGGGAAACATATAGGCTTTGACCATGATCATAATTTAATTGTGTCATTTGATAGCAAAACTACCTGATTAGAGTGTCTTGGACATAACCATTTACCTATGGTGTTATTTAGCTGTGAAGCCACCAGTTAGAGGACACGTGATGTCCTTACTAGGAAGAGATAGAATGAAAATGAATTATAGTGATATTCTCAATCAGACATTTATTCTTTATGAGTTGAAGTGATTTTCAAACTTATCTCACCTTATAAAACTATCGCGAAGAGTGAATGGTATTTTGCTTTAATTATTTAGGTGTTTTATTTCAATTTTAAACATTTATATTTTTAATATATAAGAAGCTTTGATTTTTTTTTTTTAGAATTTAAAGATTAACTCATTCTGTTTAAATTTACATTCAACACGGTCATCATCGGGGTGACATTTTAGTCACATTAAATGCTTATATTTTATTAAAATTTAGATGACATTTTAAATGTTTAGGGTTTCCTCCGGTTGAGATTTTCTTTCAACACAGTCATCATCAGAGATTTTGGGTAATCTTGCTTTATTAATCGGACCTTGTCGGTTTTGTCTATTTATCGATATAGAGTTGGGACCGTCATCGACGCATGTCTTTATTAATGAAGATTTCTTGTGATAGACCTTGAAGGCTTAATATGAACATATCAAACAAATACTCTGGTCGGCACTACGACAATGCATTTGTTCTACAATTCAAGCCATGTCAACTCCATCTATTTGCCGACAAAGGATCGGGCTTGAACTAAAGTTCATTTCTTTACGTGCGAAGCATCCTTAGATGTCACGTGTTTGCATAAATCACGCTCACTGGGGCCATGCAAGTACATACTTTTGCATGTACTTTGCGTAATGTGTTTGTATAATGGTTATATGTATGCAATGTAGCAGATGTATACAACATCTACATGCTTACATACATTCTTATACTTTCATTTGTATATTTACATGCTCATGTATGCACTTGTGTATTTGCATGCATACATGTATATTAGCATATGCATTTACACACTACTCAATCGCGCTTGCATGATGAATTTTATATTTTGCAACTTGTATATGCATGATGTGAATACATCAGTGTGCATTTCAATGTATGAGGTTGTTTTTGTAATATTTAAATATGCTTAATTGAGCAAGCGATCGTCATTTAAAAGATGTAAGAGTTTTCTTGAGGGGTCTGTGAACGTCTTCTGTATGCTCGTATAAATATGGCAGATCCGCTGGCATTTTTTTGCTCATTTCATCTTTTGTATGTTATTTTCTCCTAATGTAGCTCCTAGGAGTATATCCCTGCTTGCAAACGCATTGCACGATTCATCAAGAGTCGTTCACCTTTTATTTATAATGGAGCTAATATATTTTGCATGACGACCTGGCATTAGTAGTTTTTTGCTTGTGTTTATTAGCAATCTACAATCTTCACAACAAACTCTCTACTTTTGCTTATTGGTTAGTTGTAGCGCCACACTATGGGTTACTCATTGCTTCTTATAGACAAGCTATCGTGTCATGCAAGTCTTGTTGAATTGGTTTGTTGGTAGTGTGCTGTTAGTGGACATTCAAAATTCGCCCACTATTGCATGCAGAGGGACTATATTCAACGTATACATTCCAACACTACTTATAGGTGGGACTAATGTATGCATCTAGTCTTCTATTATTACCTATGAGCATATGATATAAGCATAACATGAATTTAATCAAATATAAATAACAATAATATATATATATATATATAACACATGTTTTCATATTAAAAATAGAATGTAAAAAAAATGATATGTATAAAATTATAACCTAAAATATAAGATGACTAGTACATAAAGCAATACTCTAATCATCATAATGCATTAGGTCTCAAATCCAAAACTCCAGTCATTTCATCACTATAACAATCCTTTACATGAAAAAATACTAAAAATAAGAGTAGCATTTATGCACATACTAACATACACAGAAAAGGAAAACTCCGTATATGCATATTCAGGATTTTTCTTATTCTTAATTTTTCTCATCCATAAGGTTTCAATCTATGACCATTAATCTTAAAGATATGAAAATTTTTTTATCTTGAATCCTTATTGAACCATTAAGATATATTTTAATAACAGTAAAAGGGTTAGTCCATCCACATTTAAGTTTTTCATGATTATATTTCTTCCTATAATCAAAAAGCAAGACATCTTGACTAGCACAAAATTCGTGATAGAAAACTCCACATGCATGCATCTTCTTCATCTATGTATTATAGATTTTTATATCTTTATAAACTTCATCTCTCAATTTATGAAGCTTATCAGCTATTGTAAAACTCTAGATGTATAGAATATAGAAGGAATCTTTCATTCTTTAAGCATACTTCACTTCCATTTTAGGATGAATGGTTTTGTTTCTTTCTAACCATTGCTTTAAAAATCTAGAAAGGAAAGGAAGACACTCAAGAAAGATTAATGTGAATAGAAAATTAAATGTTTAACATACCCTTTTAATAAATTTCACAGGTGTAGAAGAGTCAAAATTTGAATTTAAAACCATTGTGGCACAGCCAAGTGCACCAACGCTATAAGCAACACTAAGACACTCCATTCACACTCTCGTGTTTTTTTAACTAATTATTACTACTCCTAAATCTAATATACCAATCACACAATAAATTAAAAGTTGGGTTGCCTCCCATATGGCGCTAAGTTTATAGTCTTTAGCCAAACTTATCTAGATTTCTCAATTTGGATGTGGTGCATTGTTATCAATCTTCAAATTATTATCACTTAGATATTTTTCTTTTTCTTTTGGGTTAGCTTCAGTATTGCTTGCTAATGATCCAAGAGGTATACTACTGACTGAAATTATAATATGACTTAATTGGGTTTCCAAATTTTTATTTGAAATAGCTTGATTTTGCAACTGAGTTCCTAATTGCATCACTATATCTTTCAATGGTGATTTATTACTTCCAAATTGATAATTTTGATTAAATCCTACAGGATATGCAAGTCTATGATAAATAGTAGATTGCCAAAGTTGGTTTCATATTTACTCTGATTATTTTGATTAGAATTTCATTGATTATTCCCAATAATATTATTTGACAAAGTAAAATTATAGTGGTTCCTCCAACTTGGAATATATGTATTAGAGTGGGCATTATTTATTTTTAATCAAATTAATATTTTCAATCCCTTGAACATTTTTATTTTCAATTAACTTTTGATCCTCCAATTGCTTAGATAATTCAATTCCAAATTTTCCTATTGTTCTCAACATCTTAGATATTACTGCAACCTGTGTAGCCAAAATTGAAAAAACATTAATTTCATATACTCTTGCTACTCTCTTAGGATTTACATTATAAACAGGTCATTAGAAATTATTAGTAGCTATTTATTCTATTAAATCATAAGCCTCCTAAAATGGCTTAAACATTAACTATCCTCCAGTTGCAGCTTCTATGATTGCTCTAAGATGTCCTACTAATTTATTATAAAATATTTGAATATCCAGATAATCAAGTAAAGCATTGTGAGAGCAATTCCTAAGCATCTTTTTAAATCTCTCTTAACTCTCATAAATCAATTCTCCATCAAACAGGGTAAAGAAGTGATATCATTTCTGAGTTTAGTAGTCTTTGAAGGTGGGAAATATATAGTAGAGAACTTATGAGCCAACTCATTCTAAGTGGTTATAAAGCCTGGGAGAAAAGAATTCAACCATATATTAGTTTTATCTCTAAGAGAAAATGAGAACAACCTAAGTCTAATAGCATTATCATTGAAACCATTATGCTTAAATGTTGTACAAATTTTACGATGATATTTGAATTATGACAATTTTTAATTCAAAATTATAATCTTAGATCATAGGCTATTAATGTATTTCGTCTACTAAAGGTTTAGCATAATCCCT